ACCCCACACTCCCAGCTCACTCCTGCATCCTCCCTTGCTTTTGCACCTCCTCCCTGGCCAGACTGCACCCCCCCCCTTCTTCTCAGATTCTGCACCCCATCCCTATCCACCCCAGAGCCTAAGAAGGCCCACAAAATCCACTAACTATGAAACCCCAGAAAAGTTAATCTGGCCTGAGGACTTGAACCTCAGTCTTCCCTACCCCTACCACAGCACTGGAACAACAGGGCAGTGAGGTGTTTCAGTTAGGGATCACATAAGAGAAGGTTGGGGGGGGGGGAATTGGCAAGCACAGTGGAATAGAGGATGAGGAGGGCATGAGCAAGCAGGGGGCACAGTCTACTAATGTAATTGTAACATTTTATTTTGGTGTCACAATAAATACAAAGAGCAGGAAAAGAATGTGCACTTTTAGTGAGGATTAGCACAAGGAATATCCTTTTTTAAAGAAACATGACAATCCACACATGATATTTTGCACCCAATGTAATACTGAGAAATGTTGCTCATGGAGGGAAATTTGACATGGCTACACATCTGCAATCAAAGAACCATCAGTGAGCTGTCTGCTCTGTAGCTTTCAGTGCTTCAAGGAAGAAATGTATTCTAAAACAGGATTCTGTAAAAATGGAGCTTGTGGCAAAGGAAGCACTAATTGCATATCACACCGTAAAATACCACCACAGTTTCAGATCTTTAGATTGCACCTCTAAGCTAATTTCTACATTGTTTGAACCTAAATTTTCATCAGCACAAACAAAAAGTGAACCAATTGTGAAAACGTTCTTGCTCCAGAAGCTCAAAAGATTTTGAAACAGGGATTAGGTAAAACTTCATGTTGCAGTGTTACAGTAGATTCATCCAACCACAAAGATAAAAAATTGGTTCTTATCTTAGGACACGTCTAAACTACATTCCTCTTTCGAAAGAGGAATGTAAATGAAGCCAATTGAAAATTCAAATGAAGCGCAGAGTTACAAATCTCACGCTTCATTTGCATAATCATGTGAGAGCACTTTTTCAAAAAAGGGTTTTTTAAAAAAGAAACTGCAGTCTAGACAGGGCTCTTTTGAAAAACAAAAAACAAAACCTTTTTCGAAAGAACCCGTACTCCTGAAAAAATAAGGTATATTGGTTCTTTTGAAAAAGGGGTTGGGAACAAGTAAATAACTTTTCTTTATTCACTTTCTCCACACCACCCATGATTTTATCTACCTCTATCATATCCCCCCTTAGTCTCCTCTTTTCCAAGCTGAAATTCCTAGCCTCTTTAATTTCTCCTCATATGCAACCCGTTCCAAACCCCTAATTATTTTAGTTGCCCTTCTTCGAACCTTTTCTAATGCCAGTGTATCTTTTTGGAGATGAGGAGACCACATCTGTATGCAGTATTCAAGACCTTGGTTAGGAGCTAGATTATTCTTATGGGTGGTAATAGATGTTTCAGTAGAAAGCACCATTACATGGCTGTTAGCTATCCCACAGTAGCAGTTTTATCACTTAATATAGTATAACTAAAGTAGAGATGTTAGATTATGGAGAATCAACTAATTGAGAAGTTGATGGAATTTTCCATTAAAAAGCAGAGCCAGTGGTCTGGGACAGGGTAGGAACCAGGACAGCTGACTCCCAGCTCGTTCCTTGCTGTGCCTCTACCTCCTCTGCCCCTCCCTGCAGAGTGTGTCCTGATTTTTATAATAGGGGTGAGATTTCCCAAATCATCTTTCCCCTAATCTCGTTATTAATATTTGGGTGGTGGCAGCAGAAGTTTTATTCCCAAAATCTAGGGTTTTAAGATTTTGGGGGAAGTTTTATACCAAAGCCTGGTAGATAAGGCTTTGGGGTATACCTGCTGGCCCCCACTTCTGCATTTATCATGCCAGAGTGGGGAAGGAGTCATGGTTACTTTCTATCATGGTTAGAATCCTGTTGCCAACATGAGGGATTTTTTGCACTGCATTGTAACTATACTGTGGTTAGGTCCTAGGTGTAGATGTTCTGTACTATGTTAAGGGATAGGAGAGGGGAGATACTGGTATTAATTACCTGGGTTTCAGGACTGTCTTTATACAAAAGCAAAAAGTTCCCCATAGGGGTCTAGCAAGGGTGTGATTAGGCTGGATTGAGGCAGGACCAGGACATGGTTGGCTGCATCAGCATTCTCCCTGCTCAGTTCTGTGAGATCAATTGTCTTACACTGCATCACTTTCCACACGCAATCTTAAAGAGCTTTTTTTTTTAGGGTGGGGGGAGGAGTGAGGGATTTTTTAAA